CGCCGGCCCCTTCCTGCCGGGCTGCGCGCGGCTGCGCGGCGACGAGGCGGCCGCGCTGCCCGAGCTGCTCTTCCCCTTCACGTGCCGCATGTGCGGGCTGGTGCTGGACGACGGCTTCGCGCAGGACGAGGGCCTGGCCGAGCAGGTGTGCGGGCGCTGCAGCCTGGCCGTGCTGGGCGCCGAGCCGGGCGCCGGGCCCCGCAAGGGCGCCGCCGACAAGGGCTTCGCCTGCAGCCTCTGCCCCTTCGTCACCCACTACCCCAACCACCTGGCGCGCCACATGAAGACGCACAGCGGCGAGAAGCCCTTCGCCTGCCCGCTCTGCCCCTACGCCTCCGCGCACCTCGACAACCTGAAGCGGCACCAGCGCGTGCACACGGGCGAGAAGCCCTACAAGTGCCAGCTCTGTGACTACGCCTGCGGCAACCTGGCCAACCTCAAGCGCCACGGGCGCATCCACTCGGGTGACAAGCCCTTCCAGTGCAGCCTCTGCAGCTACAGCTGCAACCAGAGCATGAACCTGAAGCGCCACATGCTGCGGCACACGGGCGAGAAGCCCTTCCAGTGCCGGGACTGCCCCTACACCACCGGACACTGGGACAACTACAAGCGCCACCAGAAGATCCACGGGCACGCGGCAGAGAGCTGGGTGAACCCGCGCGCCGCCAAGGCGCTGCTGGCGCCCGCGGCCGTGGGCGCAGCGCTGCCCTGAGACAGCACTTAGCGCCGCGGAGCCCGGGCCGGGCGCCCGGCGCTGCCCGCCCGAGCAGCCTGCGCCGCGGGACTGGTGCCGGGGCCGCTGCCCCGCCCTCGCTGTAATTTATATTGTGTATAAAAGCATTAAACGGTCAGTTTTGGTACGGCGGGCTCCGCGGCGCTCTTGCTGGGCCGCCGGCGCCGCCCACACGCGCAGCCACTACCAAGGGGGATCAGCTTTAATGGTCGCTGCAGTGTAAACATCGGGTGCTGTCCGTGAGCGCCAGGGCCGCGCGCTCGCGCGGCGGAGCTAGGCGGGCGTCTAGGAGCGGGTTAGAAGCGGGGCCCGGCGCAGGGCCCCGCCGGGGCCGCGTTAGTGCAGTCTGTCTCCGCGCTGAGACCTATCGCTAATGGGGCGCCGTGGGGCCGGGTCCCGTCCTCGGCCGCTGCCGCGGGCTCCGGCGTGGCCGCCCCCGCAGCACGCGGGGTTCGGGGCCGGCCCCCCGGCGCGGCAGAGAGAGGCACGTGGTCGGTTGCAACCTGGGCAGGTTGTACATTCGCCAGCCCTGGGGCCGGTGCTGTCCGTGGYGGGCGGCGCCTACAGGTCCTCGTCGCCGATGCCCTCGAAGGCGTAGTTGCCGTGGAAGTCGTTGGCACCCACGTCGCCGGCGGAGCTGGAGTGGCTGATGCCGCGCAGGCTGACGGAGGAGAGCTTGCTCTGCACCGGGGGGGAGGCGTCAGCGCGGCCCTATGGCCCCCGCGCCCGGGGGTCCCCGTGCCRTCCCCCATGGCGCGGCACTCACCGAGAGCTTGGCCACGGGCTCACGGGCCGCGTCGGGCGAGTCCTGCGGGACAGCGCGCTCAGCCGGCGCCGCGGGACCCCCATGCCCCCCCGGCCCTGCCCCACGAGCCGCCCGGCGCCTCCCGCCGCGCCGGGGCTCCCGTGGGCGCCAGCGCAGCCCTGGGGCCGCAGGCCCCGCTCACCAGCAGTGGTGGCGACTTCACGGCCTGCTGGCTGTCGGAGCGGCGCAGGGCCCCGTTCAGCCGCCGGCGGAAGAGCTGCACGGAGGAGGCGGCTCAGGGACGGGCCCGGCCGCGCCGCTGCGGCGGCACTGCGGCAGAACGGGCCCCAGCCCAGGCACCCGCCCAGCCTCACCTTGCGGATGCTGCCCCCGGATTTCTTCACCATGAGCTCGTCCACCATGGACTGCAGGCAGATGCTCAGCATGATGGCCTGGCGGAGAGAGGCGGTGCGGGGCGTTGGCGGCAGCTCCGCGCGCTCCACGTGCTCCGTGCGCTCGCTGCCGCACGTGCCGCCCGCTCCTACCTGCGGGCTGGTGATGGTGACCCACTGCAGCCGGTCCTTGCTCATGAGGTACTCGAAGGCCAGCTCCAGCTTCACCTCCGCCTTGCCCGGGCTGCTGCCCGGGGGACCGTTGCTCATGGGCACCTGCAGGGCCGCGCGCGGAGGTGGCAGCTCTGCCGAGGAGGGCCCCGAGCCCCGCGCCGGACTGGGAGCCGAGGCTGCCCGGGCCAGAACGGAGCCGAGCGGCACCCGGCCMCAGCAGCGCCCGCAGGCGAGCGGCACTCACCGAGGACGTGACCCGCCAGCAGCGCATGCGCGTGACCTTGAAGCTGCCTTCCTTGAGCTGCTCGTTGGGCAGCCGCACCTGGAAGTTGAGCTCGTTGTTGCCGGCGCTGACGACCACGTGGCAGCCCTTCTCGGGGAAGTCGGTGACGCAGGGCTCGAACTTGAGATAGCCGTAGTACTTGAGGGTCTGCGCCAGGCGGATGAACTGCGGGCAGAGCCGGGCTGAGCGCTTGCGGGGCGGCCAGGCACCGCGGCCGGCGCCCCCAGCCCCGTGCACACCTCCTTCTTGGAGACTTTCTCTTGCAGGGACTTGAGCTGCCGGTGCTGCTCCTTGTTGACGAGGATCCAGCCGCGCTCGATGTCCGACACCGTCTGCCAAGCGGGAGCTGTGAGCGGCGGGCGTGGGGGGGCTGCGCGCCGCAGGCGCCGCCACTCACCTGCGCATACAGCAGGTTCAGCCCCACACGGTGCTCCATGACGTCGTCATCATACGAGGAGTCCCAGTAGCTGCGAGAGCGGCACGGGGCGCTCAGGGCCGCGGCAAGGACAGCCGGGTGCCATCCCCAAGCCCTGGCGTCCCCACGGTGGCAGTGGGGGGACAGGGGCTCCTCGGCCAAGCCGCGCAGCGCCGGCGCTCACCTTTTGCGCAGGATGATCCTGAACTCGGAGCTGTGCAGGCTGGTGACCGACACGTAGGGCAGCTCGAACTCCTGCAGCTTGCGCACGACTGCGAGCGCGGGCGAGGGAGGTGAGGGCGGCTCAGCGCAGGGCCGCGCGCGCCCCGTCCCGCCGCGCCACTCACAGGAGAAGGCCCCGTCCTTGGTCTCTCGCACCAGGAAGAGGCTGAAGTAGCCCACGAGGTCATCGGGCAGATCCAGCTTGGAGGCCACAGCCTGGGGGCGAGAGCAGGAAGTCGCCACTTCCCGCTGCAGGGCCTCCACGTCCTGCCCGCGGCCGCCGCAGGATCCTGCTCCGCTCGGGTGTTCCCGGCGGCAGGAAGCCGGGGCCGGGGGTGCGTGGGTGGGCACGGAGGCCCTGGGACACCCGAGCCCGCAGAGCCCCCTGGCTCCATGCCCAGCGGTGCCGTCCCGCCCGGCGCGAGGGCCCCGGCACCTCCAGCACGTCCTCCGTCTGGTCCGAGGTGAGGACAGTGACCTTGACTGTCTGGCCGTTGCAGAGCAGCACCTCGAGCAGCACCTCCTCCGTGGGGATCTGCTGCGTCTCCTGTGGGAAGCAGTGGCGTGGGCACGCGGGCAGTGCGCGCTGCCACCACCGGTGCCCGCRCGTGTGCGCACCTGCTGCGCCCGCCGCAGGAAGCTGTTGAAGGTCTCGCTGCCGCCCAGCGTCGGGTCCTGCCGCACTGCGGGGCGAGACGGACACGGGTCGGGGCGACAGGGAACGGCCAGGGCCCTGCCCGGCCCGCACGGCCCCAGCTGCCCGGGCCAAGCACGTGGGCTGTGCGCTTGTGCACTGGGGGGGTGCAGGGTGTGCTGGGTGTGTGCTCGTGCACTCGGGGTGTGCGTGGCGTGTGCTGCGTGTGCGTGGGGTGTGCGCTTGTGCACTGGGGGATGTGTGCAGTGTGCGCTTGTGCACCAGGTGTGCGCTTGTGCACTGGGTGCGCATGGGGCGTGCATGGGGCATGTGCTTGTGCACCGGGTGCACGTGGGGCTCACACCTGTGCGCCGGGTGAGCGTGGGACACACACCAGTGTGGGGCACGTGCATGGGGCGCATGTACACACTTGTGTGGGGCACACGCACAYGTGTCAGGCACGGGCAGAGCCAGCTGGGGAGCCCCCAGCAGCACCAGCCCGGGCGAAGGGGAGTCCTGGGGCCCCAGCAGCAGCCCAGCCTGGCCAGGCCTGGCCTATCCCGGCCCGGCAGCCACTGCCCATCACGGCTGCGTCAGGACGGGCCGTGGCAACCGTGGCAACCGAGGCCTGGGTGCGGAAATGGGCCGGGGGCAGCGGGGCCGCGGGAGGGGGGCCCGGGCAGTGCCCCGGGTGGCTGTGGGGCCAGAGGCTCCATGTAGGACGGCTGTGGGGCACGGCGGCTCACCGGCCTGCATGTACTTCTCCAGCTGCTCCCGCCGCTGCTCCACCTCCGCGGGCGTCAGCGTGAAGATCTTCTTGGGAGGAAAGGCTGGCACCACGTTAGCGCCGTACTCCTTCCTCAGCTGCGGAGGGAGCACGGGTCGGGCGCTGCCGGCGGCGCACGGCCGCGCTGCCCGCCGCCAGCGGAGCCCCGGCCCCTCTGCACGTGGGCAGCCCGCGGAGCGCCCGTGGCGCGCACTGCCCCACGGCCAGGGCTGAGTGCGCTGCCCCACGGCGTGCACTGCCCCACAGCCAGGGCTGCCCGCACTGCCCCACGGCCCGCACTGCCCCACGGCCAGGGCTGCCCGCGCTGCCCCACGGCCCGCACTGCCCCACGCTGCCCCACGGCGCGCGGCGCGGCCCCACCTGCTCGTGCAGCCCCAGCAGCTGGCTGTAGCGCACGCGGCAGTGCAGCACGCCGTTCACGTGGATGTTGTAGGCCTGCGGGGGGAGCGCGCTCAGCCGGGACGCACCGGGACAGTGTCCCGGGGGACGCCGCTCCACGGGCCCCCAGGCTCCGCTCCAGCCGCTGCGGCGGACACGGGGCCAAGGGCTGCTCAGCCCGACGCGCTGCCTCCAGAGGCTCCGACATGCCAGTGGAGCCGGGAGAGCCACGGGGGAGCAGGGAGCCGCAGGCTGCGGGTGCCACTGCGGGAACCGGCCGGTTTCACATCCAGACGCCCCTGGGACACCCAGACACCGGGACACTCTGCAGTCTGGGGGGGCAGCACCGCCAGCAGCCGGGCGCCCAACACCGCCCCGCGGCAGGGGGGACCCACGGGGAGCAGCCGGGGTGCCGAGGGCCCTGGTGCGCGGCCGAGCGCGCGGCAGCCGCGGCAGCCAGTGCTCCCCGGCCCCGGCACTGCGCGGCGGCACCGCGGCTGCCGCCTTCCCGCGCGGCCACAGCCGTGGGAGCTGCATGGAGCCCGTGCAGCCCGGACGGACTGGGGAGCGACACCGGGAACGGCCACGCTGGCCATCATGGTGAGTGACACCGGGAACAGCCGCCCCGCTGATCCCGGTAAGTGACAGCGG